AAACATCAAAGTTTTTTTTATAGTAAAATAATTTAAAAGTAAAGTAAATTGAAGTAAAGTAAAGTGAAGTAAAGTAAAGTGAAGTAAAGTAAAGTAAATTCTTTATTTAAAGAGGCTGCACATTTGGTACCCAATCTTCCATGTGGGCTTCAATAAACAAATATTCCACAAAATAAGCACAAAACATATTTCGTGAGTATCGTACTGCAATATCATTGTGAACAAGAATTTCAATATATTTTCGTCTGCACTAAAATATGTTTTGTATATTTCTTGCTGCTAGAATAAAATGAATTCAGGGCCCTCAATAAATCTTCAAGCTATTAGTTTAAACAAATTTATTTATGAATGATTGCGAAACACGTTCTTTCAACTTATTTTAATCACTCTAGAGTCCGCTTCCTGGAACTAACCAGTACTGGTGTCAAATGTGGATACATAGTCGTGAACCCGCAATCCTATGTTTGAGAGGCAAACATCTTAGCAATTAGGCCAGCACTACACCTCATCATTGTATCATCCATACTTTGTGATTCATCAGGAAAACATCACATCTTGCTAGAGCTATAATGGCAGCAATGCAAAAATCAAACGTAGAATTGATGTTAAAGTATGCCAAACAGTTTGTATGAAACAACTTCGACGCGTTCAACCGTCATTTTGAATCGTCATTTAAAATGACCATGATGGTTTCAGGCATAAAGTAACGTTTGAGGGGCAAATGATGTTCAAAAATCGTTTTTATGCCACAGCAGCATCTGCGATGCGGTGCCACATAGCGATTCACCTATGTGTGTGTGTGTGTTTATGTGTGTGTTTGTTTGTGTGTGTGTGCGTGTGTGTGTGCGTGTGCGTGTGCGTGTGCGTGTGTGTGTGTGTGTGTGTGTTCTATAGATTTATATATTGAACTTCAAAAATCTTCTTGTGAAAAACCACAAGTCCAATTTCAACCAAATTTGGCAGGATTGCTCCTTGGGTGAAGGGCTTCCAAAGTTGTTCAAAGTATTTTATTCCATGCAGAAATCTGGTTGCCATGGCAACCAAAAGGAAATATAAGAATAAATTAAAAAAATCTTCTTGTAAAGACCCAAAAGGCCCCACCCAGGGGGTCATTGATTTCCACTATATGTACATATAGTAAAAACTTAAAATACCTTCTTGTAAAGACCCAAAAGGCCTAGAGCTTAGATATTTTGCATAAGGCATTGTCTGTTAGACCCTTACCAAGTTTATTCAAATTATAGCCCTTGGGTCAAAATCGGCCCCTCCCCGGGGGTCATTGATTTTCACTATATGTACATAAAGTAAAAACTTAAAATACCTTCTTTTAAAGACCCAAAAGGCCTAGAGCTTAGATATTTTGCATAAGGCATTGTCTGGTAGACCTCTACCCAGATGGTTCAAATTATAACCCTGGGGGTCAAAATCGGCGCCGCCCCGTCCCAACAGTTGGTCATAATAAAAGAGAAAAAAATATTTAAGAAAATGAAAATTTTCAACGCTTCTTGCTGAGGGTAATGTGCTTCTTCCAGTTGGCATGGACAGAGCCACCCTTGGAGTTGTTGAACTTGGGACCCTTTCCAAGATCATTGCTTTTCCTTATATGTATATAGTAAAAAATTATAGTAAAAACTTCAAAAAAAAATTCTTCTAGCAATTGACAAATGCTAGAGGTTAGATATTTTGGATGGAACATTGTGTAGTGAACCTCTAGCAAGATTGTTTTCTAGCAAGATTGCCCCAGGGGCCATAGGTTTTCCTTAAATGTATATAGTAAAACTTAAAAATCATCTTCTCTAAATTTACAAAGGCTAGAGTTAAGATATTTTGCATGAAACATTGTGTTGTGAACCTCTAGCAAGATTGTACAAATTATAGCCCAGGGGTCATTGATTTTCAATATGTACATATATTAAAAATTAAAAAATCTTCTTGTTTGAAGGTACAAGGCTTAGAGCTTTGATATATGGTATATAATATCATCTATAGGTCCTCTACTAAAGTTGTTTTAATTATGCCCCTAAAATTGCCCTGCCCCATAGGCGATAGTTTTCCTTATATGTATAAAGTAAAAACTTGAAAAATCTTCTTTTCTGAATTGACAAAGCCTAGAGGTTAAATATATGGCATGAGACTTTGCAAAGAGAGACTCTATCAAGAGTGTTCAAATTATAGTCCTGGGGTCAAAATTGGTTCTGCCCCGGGGGTCATTGATTTTCATTATGTACATATAGTAAAAAAATATTTTTGTCTGAAGGTACAAGGCATAGAGCTGTGATGTTTGCAATATAATATCCTCTATAGGTCCTCTACCAAAGTTGTTCAAATTTTTCCCCTGGTGTCAAAATTATGTACACATAGTAAAAACAGAAAATAAAACAAATGCTTTCTGAATGGGAGAAAACTACAGCTTAGATATTTGACTTGAAATGTTGTTGGGTGGACCTGTATCAATATTGTTTTGAATTTAACCCTTGGGTTAAAATTTTGCCGTGCCCAAGGGGACAGTGACCTACTTTCTTGTCCTTTGATGTACAGCAATGAAATTTTGACCATGTGCACAGTTTTAGTTTTAAAATTGAACTTTGATATCAGGTGACCAAGATTTTGATTATGTGACCTACTTTCTTGTCCTTTGATGTACAGCTATGAAATTTGAACCATGTGCACAGATTAAGATGTAAAGTGAACTTTGATATCAACTGACCTAGATTTTGAGTGTCTTACTGTGTTGTACTTTGATGTAGTCATGAAATTTAGGCTGTGTGAAATATGACCTTCACCACCAAATTCACTAGACTCAAGTGCATTGATATATTCCTACTCTTTTATTGGATTAACAATAGATTTAACAACTAATCTGATAATAAGAATTAGATAGGTGAGGGATCTATGCATTTTGACAATATTCAATTGTATAGAAACAAAAAAAACTGATCCTACACTACTATTTAGTGTTGTATTAATGCGGTTGCATAGCATTTTTCTAAATTGCAATCTTGTTTTTTTTCGCGATTAAAATAGTTTTGAGTTTGCTTACATCTAAGTCACGGCGAAAATTAATTAATTTTATTTAGTGGTATAACGTCATTTGTAATGTCAAAATCACGCTTTGTGCGCGTAAGATAAACTTACAGGTTTCATGACCATGCCCCTAGTTCAAATACTGTTGATGCTACAGGCGACACAAGTTGACAATTTCCGATTTGACTAAGTCAATGGCAATTACTCTGACATGACTGCCCAAATTGACAAGCGAAATCCCAGATGCACAATATCATTTTGCTGACCAACGTTCATGCTAAATTTTATGACCCTAAATTATTTATAGAGCAAAACTAAAGATTCAGGGACTCACAGACGCAAGTACTCAGGCACAGGCCCTCGGGCAACTATCAAGTTTACCCCTACTCCCCTCAGAGTTGGGGTTTCAAAAGACGATATTTTATCTTCAAGTCAATACATATTTATGTCCAAAATATTTAGCACATATTTTCGACAAAGCCAGTCACTGTGTATTTACACATAAGTCATCTTACTTGTAAAATGATAAGCAAGGCGGCGTGGACTTAAACAAATATATTTCTGATTTATGCTGATAATGTTTCATTGATGATAATGATGTTGTTGTTTTTGTTGTTGTTGATAATGATGATGATGATGATGATGATGATAATGATGTTTTATTAACGTTGATGAAGCCAGGTTAAAACGGCGATGACAATGTTAGTATACTGTGTAAAATGTGTGACATAGGCATCTACTACCAAATTGCAGAAATAGCACATAAAGACAGTTCTGATTAATTCGACAAAATGTGTCCCACACGTGTGACATATACGTTCTGTGACATATACGGTCCGACATCTGTCCAAACCTTTCATAATATTCCTGCAAAATTGCTTGAGGTTGTGACCTCAAATATTTCATAAATATTTTTGAGCATCAAACTTTTCTCTTGCTTTTTCTCAGCTTTGAATCTTTTTAAAAATGATATAACATGTACACATTTATGAAAAACATTCCAATGTGTGTTTCTTCCCTTTCAGTATTACTTGAAGAAAAGCCATACTTCCTGGAACAGAGCCACTTTTGACCCCAAATCAATGATTTGAATAATATTAATAGAGTTTCACTTTTATTGGAAAATGAATCATCCTTAATATCTAAACTCTAGTCCATGAACTTTTAAAAAAAGAATTTTCACAATATACATATAAGGAAAACATCCCCGGGGCTGGACCAATCTTGACCCAAGGGCTATAATATGGGAAATCTCGGTAGAGGTCAACAAGACAATGCTCTAGGAATTTTGGTGTTATTCCTTTCAGTTGCCATGGCAACCGGATTGCTGCATGAAAATAAAATTCTTTGAACATCTTTGGATGCCCTTTTATCCAAGGAAAATTCCTGGCATATTAAATTGATAACGGACATTATTTTTTTAAGAAGAAGAAATAGTACTTTTTCTATTTAATCTAATATATAATCAATATAACAAACGCACCCGCGCTGGCACGCACGCATACACACTTACACAAATGGATCGCTATATGCCGGTGACGTTAAAATGTGAACATGCTGTCCGCGGACATGTTTTATTTCAGATTTATACCAGATGAAGATTTTTTAATGAAATGTTATGTGTTTTAATAAACCATGATCAACCAAACAAATGACCCTTTGATAACTTAATCATATTTTCTGAATATTAAAATATTTTGTTAAAAAACTGCGCAGACTCTTCAACATATTCGGTTATGCTATTTTTAGTGAGTCAGAATCCTTTTTCAATGTCGTAGAGGAAATATTATTGCCAATGCGTAAAAGATGTCGACCAGAGCTTATTTTATGTAAGCTGAATACACTGAATATATTTAAGATAATCCGAAAAATGACATACAGTAAGTGTAACAATAATTTTTTGTATATAGATATTACCAAACTTAATTAATTAAATTTAAAGAATATTCATTGAATGGGGATAGTACAAATCTTACCTTAATCAATTTGTCCACATAAACTATCCTGTTGAGTTAAGGAATTTTATACTATTTCTCACAGTGTCGAAATGACTGTATCTAGAACACGTATGCCAGAGGTTTAAATTATATAAGAATTGCGTATTTATGAACCCGCGTGAAATGTAAAACTTCCTTTCTTTTCGAAAGGCCTTTTATAATACAATACAACAATACCTTGTACTTATAGTAAATAGTTTTTAAAACTAATTGTAAATCAAAACGGATTGACTTTGTATGTATGTATGTATGTATGTATGTATGTATGTACGTACGTACGTGTGTGCGTGTGAGTGCGCGTGTGCGTGCGCGCGCACGTGTGTGTGTATGTTGCTGTACTATTATAGGTATTTGAAAAATATTGATAGATACATATTACCATTATTAAAGATTGATATCCGATCGTGTCGGGACTTTAAACACTGGTAATAAATATTTTCAATTAGATCTTAATCAGATATCTTACTTGTATAAATGTTTCCGTTTTGTTATCTTTCTAAGGATTTGTGATGTCATGGTAAAACGTATTAAACAAAGTGTTTCTGACACAATTATACATGTAGAAGGTGTTAATTAAACCATATTTTTGTGTACATTCATTCAATAAGCCTGTTAATTTTGTGTGTGTAATACACTTGTTATCCCCTTCCTGTGGAAAGATGGCCATGGTTATGTATATATATAATTGTCTGTAACTATACAAAATGTTATTTTTGTAAGTCAAATGAAAGTGGAAATGTATTTCTTAACATTTTTCATCAATTTATTTTGGGAACACACGGAAACGACATTGGTCTCAATGCAAACAATATATAAGAAATTAATTTGTGTTTCGGAATTTAATGGATAAAAAGGCTTATTGATGTTGTTAAATTAATTTTTTTAGTTGAAGTCCTTCCTGCTGTTTTGAAGGGTTAAAGTGTTATTTATAAAGGAGTTTCCTGTTATCATGCATTTCCTAAAGTACATGTTAATGTTCCTTTTTTTACACTATGTTAAACGTAAATTGCACATATTTATTTTTCATTTCACAAAACGAATCTGCTTTAATATGAAAATTATTAATTCACCATGGCTCCTGTTGATTTTTATAAAGGTGTTTTATTACAGTTAATGTTTATTGAATGAATTAAATGCTCATGATTATTTTTTCATGATTACCATATAATTATTGGCTTTGTTGCGGTTGTCATCGTTGATGATGTTCAATTATCGTATGCACATGATGATGACATGTATATGAAACATAATTAAAACCTGTGAATATTGTAGACTTCTCTTTTTCCCTCGGTACGTAACGCACAGGGTACCGACATATGATGGAAAATCCACTGCAACGTGTAAAACGTGTACGTTTCCATTCTCTCCTCAGCTCGTGGTAACGTTTTTAGCGACACAACTTAGTTTAAATATATGAGGTAAGCTGCCAGTGTTCTGACTAAAGCCTCAAATGTGGTAGGGACGACGAGGAAAGTGTGCTTGGGTGTGTGAGCGAAAGATGCTTTTTGTTACATAACAGGCGAAAGAAATATCATTAAACATAGAACACATACAAACATACCCACGCACACACGCACGACCAACATACACACGTTCAACGGACTATCAGGAGTTAACATTCTTCTATTTTCATTTTCTTATTTTATTTATTTTTTGTGCTTCATTATTATTTGTTTATATTTTTCAGATATCGAATTTTTTTCACACAAGTTAATAAAAATATCTTGTTTATTTATAATATGCCGATGTTAACACATGTCAGATCGAGATATCACACCGTAAAATAAGCTTTTACACGAAATTAGTTGTCATAACAAAATGTGTATGTGTATGTATATGCGTATATTACGTAACCTACATAAGGCGGGTAGGAAAAACACAATTTTGGTCATTATAGATATCCATATATTAAGTTCATTCCATGAAATCTATTTTCGGTACAACGACCTTAAGCTTAGGAATGTCATTGGAATGTTTTCATATATGGTAATATGTTGCAAAATAACTCAAAAGAGACGAATATCCATATATTAAGTTCTTTCCATGAAATCTATTTTCAGTAACACGACCTTAAGCTTAGGTATGTCATTGATATGTTTTCATATATGGTAATTTGTTATAAAATAACTCAAAAAAGACGAATATCCAATGTAACCGAAGACATTATATACATACTGTACAGAGTTTTATTCGTCCTTTACAAATAAAGATTAAATTTTATAGACAATGTGTATTTCTTTTTTAATTCAAGATGTCGTTGATTTTGATTAAGTTTAAATACATATTACTTGTAAAACAAAACATCAAGTTATTCTATGTTTTTCTAAAATTATATGTAAATGTACTTAAAACTGATTAATACATGTATATACAACATTCGGTCAACACTATGTAGTTTTGTATACAGTTTTTCTAAAATTAACACCCTTCGCATAATTTTACTTGTCTAAACATATGCCTTTTTTGATCTTCTAAAAAGATGAAGAAACCGTTCACACATCTTGGAATATAGTAATGCTATTTTCTATCATTCATATACAAAACAATGGTAATGCATGATGAATGCAACATGGATGTCAGTCATCATAGTCACATGGCAAGTTATGGTACGGTAAGGTATTGGCAATACAACGTGAGGGTAATGCAACATGAATGTTAACCATCAAAGTTTTTTAAAGTAAAGTAATTAAAAAGTAAAGTAAAAGTTAAATAAAGTAAAGTAAATTCTTTATTTATAGAGGCTACACATTTGGTACCCAATCTTCCATGAGGGCCTCAATAAACAATTATTTCACCAAATAAGCGCAAATCATAGTTCGTGAGTATCGTACTGCAATATCCCTGTAAACAAGAATTTCAATATACTTTTGTCTGTACTACTATATGTTTGTATTTTTATTGCTGTTTGAATAAAATGAAACCAGGGCCATTAATATATCTACAAGTTATTAGTTTAAACATATTTATTAATGAATGATTGCGAAACACGTTATTTCAACTTATTTTAATATTTCTAGAGTCTGCTTCCTGGAACTAACCAGTACTGATGTCAATGGGGAAACATAGTCGCGAACCCACAATTCTTTGAGAGTTAAACATCATAGCAATTAGGCAAGCACTACCCCTTATCATTGTATCATCCACAATTTGTGATTCATCAGCAAAATATCACATGGCAACAATGCAAATAGGAAACGTAGAACGGTTGTTTAAGTATGCCAAACCAACGTTGACGCGTTCAATCGTCACTTCGAAAATGACAATGAAGGTTTTAGGTATAAAATAACGTTTGAGGAGAAAATGATGTTCAAAAATTGTTTGCTTTTGTTATGTTTTTTTTCGGATTAAAAAAGTTTTGATTTTTCTCATATCTAAGGCACGGCGAAAAATAATTAATGTTATTAATTGGTACAACTTGATCTGTAATGTCAAAATCACGCTTTGTGCGCGTAAGATAAACTTACAGGTTTCATGACCATGCCCCTAGTTCAAATACTATTGATGCTACAGGCGACACATGTTGACAATTACCGATTTGACTAAGTCAATGGCAATTACTCTGACAGGACTGCCGAAATCGACAAGCGAAATCCCAGGTGCACAATAACATTATGCAGACCAAGATTGGTGTCAAATTTTATGACCCTAAATTATTTATAGAGCTACACTAATTCAGGGACGCACAGACGCAAGTACTCAGACACAGGCACGCGGACAAGTATAAAGTTTACCCCAACTCCCCTCAGAGTTGGGGGATAAAAAGACGATATTTTATATTCAAGTCAATAAATATTTATGTCTAACATATTAAGCACATATTTTCGACAAAGCCAGTCACTGTGTATTTACACATAAGTCATCTTACTTGTAAAATGATAAGCAAGGCGGCGTGAACTTAAACAAATATATTGCTGATTTACGATGATGATGTATCATTGATGATAATGATGTTGTTGTTGTTGTTCATAATGATGATGATGATGATGATGATGTTTTATTAACGTTGATGAAGCCAGGTTAAAACTTTGATGCTAATGTTAGTATACTGTGTAAAATGTGTGACATATACGGTTAGGCATTTACTACCAAATTGCAGAAACGTATATAGCAAATAAAGACAGTTGTGATAAATTCGACCGAATATGTCCCAAACGTGTGACATATACGTTCTGTGACATATACGGTCCTACATCTGTCAAAAACCTTTCATTTATATTCCTGCAAAGCTGCTAGAGGTTGTGACCTCAAATATTTTATAAATAGTTTTGAGCATCAAACATTTCTCTTGCTAGGGGTCAGGACTTTGTCCCAGCTTTGAATCTTTTTTAAAAATGATATAACACGTACACATTTATGAAAGACATTCCAATATGTGTTGTTTCCCTTTCAGTATTATTTTAAGAAAAGCCATGCTTCCGGGAGCAGAGCCAATTTTGACCCCAAAGCTATGATTTGAATAATATTAATAGAGCTTCACTTCCCTGGAAAATGAATCATCCTTAATATCTAAACTCTAGTCAATGAAGTTAAAAAAAGAATTTTTACAATATACATATAAGGAAAACACCCCCGGGGCTGGACCAATTTTTACCCAAGGGCTATAATATGAACAATCTTGGTAGAGATCAACAAGACAATGCTGTAGGAATGTTGGTATTATTCCTTTCAGTTGCCATGACAACCGGATTGCTGCATGAAAATAAGATTCTTTGAAAACTTTTGGAAGCCCTTCATCCAAGGAAAATCCTGGCAAGTTAAATTGATAACGGACATTAGTGTTTAAGAATAGGAAAATTGTACATTTTCTAGTTAATCTATTATATAATCTATATAACACGCGCGCCCGCGCTGGCACGCACGTATACACACTTACACAAATGGATCGCTATATGCCGGTGACAGTAAAATGTTGAACATGCTGTCCGCGGACATGTTTAATTTAAGATGAAGATTTTTTTAATTAAATGTTATGTGTTTTAATAAATCATGATCAACCAAACAAATGAACCTTTGATAGCTTAATCATAGTTTCTGAAAATTAAAATATTTTAAAAAGAACTGCGCAGACTCCTCATTATAATCGGTTATGCTATTTTGAGTGAGTCAGAGTCCTGTTTCAATGTCGTAGAGGCAATAGTAC